AACAAACAATGTGTCAATACTTCTGTACTTATTACGTACATTACCTTAAATCTAAAAATTATTCAGAGGTGGCCACTGAGCATGTACTTTAACAGAAATAATACAATCTTCATAGCAGTAAGGGTAATCCTTATTTCTTAGTATATAGTAAAACGTCATTTAATCAAAAACATGTCATACAGATGTGGAAGAGTCATGATGTTTTTCTGCAAGTAAACATCCCTAGTTTAAAATACTACTTTCTTGTGATATAATTGATTCAGTTAACTCCTTTTTTGTTCTTAGCTACGAAGCTGGAGCCTGATTGTAGGAGGAATTATGGCAGTGGTGCTTAGTGTTGCTGTCTATCGGCATCTCCATGGATGACTGAACAAACGTTTACTTCTTGATGGTTGAAGGTGTAAAAACTGGAGAAGAGTAATTCTTTACTTGAAAAGTAATTATAATGTGATCTTCAGTGAAAAAGAAAATTACCAAGATTACAAACTACCATAATTAGAATATCATTATATTTTACTCATTGAAAAATCAGGCATTGATTTCAATGAAACAAACTTTTTAATATATAATATCACTTTAAGTTTCTTTGTGTCTGTCTGTTATTTTCATTTATACAGACATTCAACATCTGCAAGTGTTAGTACCACTGATTTACGGTTTATTATCCCTAGCCTGGTTGTTGTGAATTTTGTTGAATGTTCTAAGTTCTGATCAATTTTTGATATGGAAAGCCAACTGAAAAAGGGAAGAATTTTAGGTGTCAAATTGTTTATTCCATCTTAACATCTATGTAGTTTTTGTAAACTTTATGCTAAGTCCAAATAAAACTTGTGATAATTAGTTGTTTGTCTTATTCTGTCAATAGAGCAGTTATGACAATTTTGTCATAAAACTCAAAATGTTTCAAGGAACTGAATGTTTTTATGTGTTTGGGAATTCCTGATAGGAAGACTACATTCTTTGTATTAAGAAAGCAAATTTGAATAGTGCATGATGATCCATGATGCTCTAAAGTTTATTCAGATGTAAAAAATAATTTATTTAATTGTGCTTAAAAGACAGGGTATAAGCATAGTGGTCTGTGGATAAAGAGGCCCAAAACTTGAGCCACAGTACACTGCCAAACACACTATAGTTGTTATAGTCAATTTTGCTTTTTTGAGTAAGACTAGCCGTGTAGGTGGCATATTGCTCACCCGCTAGTCATCAGTTGTAAATTAGGGATGACTATTCTTGAACTTTTAAAGTTTCTGACCTGGCAGTTTAGCCCATGCTTTACATAAGGTGATGTTAAAGTTAGAAATACCAAATGTACCATTTGTAGCAAGTTGTTTTGGAGGAGTTTCATAGAAAAGACAACATGCAAGGACTCTTACTTAAAGGATAGTTCCAGCCAAACAGTTAGTATTTATGTTATATAATAGAAAAGCCAAAGAATAAGTACACATTGTTTGCAACTGTTCAACTGACAATAGTTTTGAAAGATGCAAGACCATCACAACCTTTCAGGTTTTATTGTATTTCAGTCAGTGCTTAATTTCTAGAAAAAAAGGGGGGTACTACACCCCTACTTTATAATTTTGGTTTTGGAAAATAACTTGTGGAACTTGACAGAAGCAAATTCATTGACTACATCAGTCAAATAACAATTCACAATGTGACCCAGGCAATATTAAAAGTGATTGTAGTGTTTCTATCTTTTAAGTTGAAAAAAAACAAACCCAAAACAGGTTCTGTATCTTTCATCCAGAGAAATTGGGACAGAAGTGAAACACAGATCTCAGTACAAGTATTCTTGTTATTTTACAACGAATGATGAATTCTTACTTCTTTTGCTGTCCTAATTTAGGATCTTTTTAATAAATTCTTGAAAATGTTAAAAAAGAGAAAGAGAGCCCAGTGAGGATGTTTGCCCCGGGGCCCATGCTGGCTCTCGACGTTCCTGACAACCACTATTTAAACAAGTTTGAGGTTGGCATTTTATTGGGTTTTTTTTCCACCAGTATTAACTGGAATAATTCAGTTAATGAGGTAAACTATTATTTTAATAATGGAAACAACAATTGGCAGTAAAATTATTTTACTAGTGTATTCAAGGAAAAAGTAAACAATAGAGTAGTTATCACAACATATCAAAAGCACAAATAAATACAAGTTTTGTTTAGAATACACAGAATTAATCCAGCTAAGATAAGTCATCACCTACAGCCAACCACAGGGAAGCTATTCACATTCCAAGCAATGTAAACCTGGGTACGTGATGATAAAGTCATAATCTGCCAGTCTGTCTTTCTTAGCTGTGATGAGTTAAGAAATGTTTTACCAAAAGTGATTTTGCATCACACCTGAAAAACCAATGTAACTAATCCACACCTGAGAAACATTAGCGAGATGGCTGTAATTATTGATATGAAAATCATTGCTGACAACTAATAATTTTTTTAGAAATACAATATATAGAAGCTTGTCTGTTTAAAGAGGTTCATAATCAAAGAAAAAAACACTGGTCAAACATCAGCATTAATCGGGAGTTAAATTTATTAATTCTGTTTGGTTTGTCATAACTTATATATATATATATATACATTTTTTTTTAATTTTTAACATAACCATAACTAAAATTTACTTACTTGCATTTATGATTATATTATTTTTATTACATTTCCGGCAAAATAAAGATTAGAAAACTAAGGAATTCTCTTTCGGGTTGATTTGTCGTAAACATTTTACCTGAAGGATTGTTGTTCTTGAAGAGTGGTCATTTATAAATCATGTTGTTGTTCTGTTTTCATCTATTTAAACCCATCCTCGGAGATCAGAAAGAAAAAGGTTTTGTAGCAGTTCTTAAGTATAAGAAGTTTATTCCTAGAACCATCAACTCTAAGAAAAAGTCTGGTAGTGCTTAAACATTTCCCGCTGAATTTAAGTGGAATTTTTTATTGGTTCCAAGATAAACTGTCATCAGATGCCTTCTTTTAGGACTAACAGTGCTTACTTTTTGAGTACTGTCAATGACCATTAACTGAAATGTTTATATATAAGATGCAGCAAAAGCAAACAAATTTATGCTGTAACAAAATGAAAATAACTGGCAAATATCCACATTTTTTTTGCAGTTTTCAGACAAAAATAAAGGCTTTTAACACCTTTGATTTTTATTAATTCTTAGTGTTACAAAATACATCATTAAAAACACTATAAATTCTATTTTACTAACATCCAACCATTTCTAGCAAAGCTAGTGAATTTCCAGTTTTTCATAAGAAAATGCCAAAAAACATTTGTGTGTTTCATTACTTGGACTTCTTAAAGACTTTTGACACATTATAATGGACCTTTAACTGTATACAATGTGTCAGGTTTAGTTTCAATTTGTCCTAGGTTAGATTGTCTTGGTCAAGGATGGGTTAGGAATTAGTTACCGCAATCTTCACCCAGAAAGTTAAAATAAAGATAGATTCGGGTATTTGTAAGCCACAATCATGGATTACAACAAAAACTTTGTAATTAATCATTCATAAGCAAACTGATGGATTTTGGATATGTCAAGCTAGTAGAAATTTTATTTCAGTAGAAAGTCACAATTACAGATTCTTATGAACTAGGAAACTACAGTTTCTAGACGTTTCAGAAAATCCGACGATAACTTCAGGTTTCATTCCAAACACACTACTTGATAGTTAGAAGAACTGTGTTTAGGTATTCAAAAGGTAAAATATTAACAAAAATATTACCCAATTTAAATAAACTTATATAAAAAAAGTAAACCATATTTTCAGTCAAATGGTTTTTTACACATTTTTTTTTGACAGCTGTAAATATTAATTATGGTATGTCTGACTGTGTTTTAAATAAGCCAAACATAGCTGCATATTTTTCATTCTAAACAAAAAAATAAAGTAAGTATACATTTGAAATAAAATATTTTGACAATGTCCTTTCACTCACTAATACTTTAACAGCATCTCTGAAATGGTAAAGATCTACAGAAAACATTTGTGTACCTGTAATAAAGTTTACAGCAAGTGTTTAAGGTATCTGAAGCATATTCTTTGTTTGTATTGCAGTTAATGAAAATTTCTCTAGAATGAGACTTCACAACCACTCCATGCCAAGGTATGCAACCTTTAATAGTTCCATGGAGAAGGTCATTTATACTTTTCTGGAAACGGTTTAGTATGATGTATCAGTACATAAGATCGTTTCTTAACCAGTTATTTGCTTACTAACAATGGTCTTGCAGCAATATTTCCATGAGATCAAGGTTCATAAATCAACTAATCTTAGCACGTACATAATCAGATCTAAGCCCACTGGAGCTGCACCAATTAACTTGACAATTTGTGGTTCAACAAAACTGCTTGCTGTCATTACAGCTTCTCTGTCCACCATCTTCATGAAAACAGACACCGATTACAAGGTGTGGCGCGAAACTTGTGAACTGTAAATACTTGCCAGAAAAGTGCCAAACGTAATGCCAGATTTTTAGTCTCTTGTTTGACCATAGTCTAAACTTTGCAGATAAGGCTATCGATTCTTCTTTGAAATGTCAAATAATCAATAATTCTTTGTCAATAATCACTCAACAATATTGTTATCTGTATATTTTTCATCAGAAAAAGTAGTTACCTTCGAAAAACTTAGGTTTAGGAGACATTTTACAAGTTTGGTTTGTGTGAAACAGATGCCTATCTAATGTGATTTAGTTCGACAAACTAACATTCACAGGGAAGTGGTGACTAAATGTGTTGTCACAATTTGTAAATGAAACTGTATTCTCGCAGTAATATATATTAGATTCTAATGATGCATGTACGGCATAGGGTAATAAAACAGTCGTTAATGTTCAAGTAATTAACATATAATCCAGCTTTTCTTGTTGACAAAACTTCCACTTTCAATGTGATTCAAGCATTTGTAAGTTTTAAATAAATAACTGATGAGTAAAGATGGATAATGAAATCCTTTTTCAAAAGTGATCCACTTCAACTAGCATTTTCTCAAAGTTATGAAAATATTTTAATTTCTCGAAATGTCCATTTACAAAAATGATTATCCTTTAAAGATTAAGCTTATAAAAAAGGAACCAGTTCAGTGCTCGTTACTTTGTCTGCAACACTAATTTTTGAAGCAAGAACTGCCAATTTTCAAAACATTTTGTACAATTTGACCAACTATTGAAGCTGTATGTAACTTAAAACTAAAATAAGCAAAAAGCCAAATGGATGAGCCCCCCCCCCCAAACACACTGTTCACTTGCATTCAACCTCTAAAATCAAACTAAATGCATTTAGTAGTATAATATATGAACTAATTACTGGAGGTTTTGTTCACTTTATTACAGCCTCAAAAGCAGTCGTTTTCCAAAGTTTCACACAGAAATCAATACCTGAACATTTGTAGTGTGTCAATCACTTAAACAGTTAAAACAATGTATCTGAGGTTTAATTTTTTGAGCAAGATGGATTCCTACGTCATATTCTCACATTAACTTTTTAAAACAGTGATATCCATTTGCTATTTTTTTACTTAATCTATTACAATAACTTCTGCCTCAACTATGGACTCACTTCCAGAGCAATCTGCTCTAGAGAAATTTTTTGAAGATACCTCAGCCTCCTGATGTGGAAAAGATGAAACCTTATTCTTATCTTTTTCAATGGATATAATATTCAGAGCCATTCTGTCTGGTCTAGTTTGAAAATCATGTTTTTCAGTTTCATGGCAAACAGAACCTACTTCCTTATCAAACTGTGTGTTTTTGGAGTTTAGAGCTGGACTGGATGGCTTCAGGTTACCCAGTGTGTTACATGTAGTAGACAAAAGTGTGACAGGAGTAATTCTCCGAGTAAACTTTAGGATTGGCTGAGTTGTCTTCTTATCATCACCACAGATAACTTGCTTATCTTTTGAGGGTAAAAGGCTGGAGAGAAGAGTTGGAGTAATTCTTCTTCGTTCCTTATGGGTTTCTGTTTCACATAATGGCCTTGGGGAGACAATGTTTGGAGAAGACTTGTCAATTCTGCAAGTGAACTTAGTGATTGAACAATTATTACCTGTACCACTGCTTGGTGTTGAGACTGGCTGAACAGGCTCAGGATCTTTACGTGACACATACTGCCATCTGTTAGGAATGGGAAGATCTTGAAGGCCATATTTTTCAAGGACATCTTGATGGATCCACCAACAGAATTTGTTGAAGGAGGGAAGGTCACATCGTTTCCAGGATGCTATTTTTTGAAAGGTTATCTCAAGCTGACGTTTAGAAATCTTATAGCGGAAATTTTTATCATTAACAGGAGATGCTCGAGAAATTACAGCATCAGTTTTCTGTCCCTGCTCCTCATCACTAGCAGATTGAAGATGAGTTGAATTTTTTGGGATATTGATACTTTCTCGCCCACTTGTTTGATTGTTTCTTTCACAGAACTGAACCCAGTACTGCTGGAATTCTCGAATCAGGACATGCCGACCAAGAACATTTGCATGAATCAAACGAATCAGATGAGGTATTGCTAAAAAGACAAAAAAAGAATCTAAATATAAAATTTGCAATAAATCTAAAATAAAGGTATGTAAACAAAATGACTTGTATAAAAGTATTTAAGCAGTTTTCTAGTTAACCCAAACTCCCAGGTTCTGTATGCACAAGAATTTGTCAGGATGCATGAGATTTGAATTTTAAGTTCTTAATTTTATAAGGAAATATTTTAAAAAATCCTCAGTCTCCCCTAGTGTGAGAATTGTGACATTTGGTCTCTAGGTTTTACCAACCCTTTGAAAAGTATGAATAATATTGTATAATATTGTTATCATCCAGGCTAAGCATAAGTTTTATAGCCTTCAATCTTATTTGTTTCAGAATCATAAACTAGAAAATCAGAACCACTTACTGCACCCATTATTTTACATAATTTTCTGCATAGAGATTTCACTTCCACTTCAAACTTTATTCTCACAGGAGCTGAATTTTTAACAGCACTTACTGCATAGTTAGAAAACCAGAAAAATTAAGATAGTTATATAACAGTGTCTTCTATTTTATTGTTATCATTCTGTGTTCTTAAGTGAATTATTTTATTGAGTAAAAAATTATTTAGTGCAATAATACCATTAGTATAAAAAAGTAGGGTTAAGTTTCACCAACAGATGGCAGCAAAAACAAAGAAGGCCCATAAGTACTTTATTTCTCATTTTTCATGAGTATACTTTATTAATTACTATAAAAGTAACTAAAATGTAAAAATTAGAAAGATACTAGATTAGATAAGACAAAGGAAAAAAATATTTTCGTGAGATACGTTCATGAGTAGCTCGTAGTTTACATAATTTGAGCATCATGTTTGCAGAGTAATTTACAACTTGTGTAGCAGGATTATTAGTTAGACATGGTTCAAAAGGCAATACAACAATGTATGCTGTTACACGTTTTAAGCTATTTAGGATATATAAAATGTAGTTTCTTGTTACAATTTGAAGTAATTCTAGAAAAAAAGAGAGTAATTTAGATTTATTTCATATTTTTGTATGGTGCTTATGTGGTCGGTCAAATTGACCAGGCTTGTAAAGAGTTAGGGTAGAGAAAACAATAAATAAAATATGAAGTTTCACTGATAAAAAATTTAATTTATTTAGAGATTTTAGAGAATATGCAAATGAACCTTGACAACTTTCAGATGAAGAAGAGTATTTTTAATCTTAACATAAAAAACCACCTTGCTCTCGGAGCAGTTAACACTTTCTGATTTTTTGTCTACAAAAAGACTTCTATTAATTACTGATAGCTTTCAAAATTTCGTGAAAATACAAAAAACATATTAGTAGTTATAGTATGGAAACTCTAAAGGTCAATTGGGAGTCATGAACTTGGCCAAAATGACTAAGCCTGTAGCGAGAGAGTTAAGATAGTATATGTGAATCAATTACAATAAGTTTAGTTATTACAGCTTCATAAACATTTTATCTCAACCAACTAGAAACAGGCTATTTCTGATTTTTATACTCTTTAAAAGTAATAATAATGTTCTGAGGAAAAAAATAATCATTTACTTACCTTCCTCAGGAACAGGACGTTTCTGACTTTGTCTGGGAGTTCCACCATCCACCATTGTAGTGTTTGCTGCTGAACCATTAGAATTAATCATGGAAATATCATCTTCACATGAGAGCTTTGCTAAAGATAAGGATGTAGCTATGGGTCTAGTAGCAAGAATTACTGCTCGGTATTGCTCCAGAGCCTTGCGTAGTTCTTCCTGACCTGGTCTATCGTCATCATCATCCCACAAACAACCAATCATTTGAGGCTTCAAGGTAGGACACTTGTTCTTCCTCTCAGCTTCAAATTCTTCTTCCATAAAACCATTGTAGACTTCACATTACTTCACTTGTAGAACGTTTAAGTACATGTTGAAGTAATTGTGTGTCTTTCAGTCAACTCATAAAACCATTGTAGACTTGACATTACTTCACTAAAGCATATATTGAACTTTTAAAATGTTAAGAATGTTACTGTTTTCTACCCTTTGATGGGAAAAAAATTGTTTTCCTACATGATTACAAATCCACTTTTATTAGACTTTTTCTTGCATTTCAAGGACAACATGGCTGTCAATTTAAAATGTGTAATTATTTCTTGTTGAGAATAATAAAAATGTTTTATTTACTTTTTGTAGTATTCATTTAAGTTCATTAGCTTTTCCCAGTATATTTAATGTGAGTATAATACTTTATGAACATGGTGTTCGAACGCATGATGTGTATCTGAATATTCTTTTTATTCAGGTTGATACTCCAGAAACTCACAAGCTACGACTAAAAGTGAGGGGCTGACTGAAAGACACAAAATTACTTCAATATGTACTTAAAAGTTCAACAAGTGCTTCAATGGATATCCATAACCTTCAGACCAAATATAACATGAAATAAGCCATATAATCCACATTAACGGTATATTATGCAAAAGTTTATACACGTATGACTACACGTGAATCATAATGATAGGGCAAAGATTAACAATTCTTTGACTTTTCCACCATCCTTGCAATTTCTTCATGCAAAAGTTTTAATTTTAAAGAATTGTTTTCTGCCATTTTCCTGAAACTAGTTGACTTTACCAAATCAGTCACATTGCCTTGTTTTTTGGCCTTGACATCAAGATGATCAGCAACCTCAATTAATGATGCTGTATCTTTTTTAAACCTTTGATGTTTAGCCTTAAGTACTGCAATATCCTTTTCCGTGTCTTTTCATCAGTTCAGCCATCTTTCCCTGTTGATTAAGGTATTGGTTGTATTTCTATCTATCACTTTGAGCAGCAGTGAGCAGTTCCTTTGACAAAGAAACTTCCAGAATACTCCAACTGACTGCACATAATCACAGATTAACTGCCGGCAAACAAGGGAGACATTCTTCATGTTCTGAAGCATTAACCCTTCAATCTTCTAAAAATGACCTCAGATATGATGGATAGTAAGGCTCATTTTGAGCGTGTACTATCAACTCTTGTCAATTTGAAATGTCTCAAAAGCAGAAGAATTTAATTGCTTCATCAGACAGTATGACTTGTTTTTAACTCGGGTTGTAAAGCCAAATTCCTGCATCTTCAAGGATTTTGACTTCAAAACTGTTAGGCTTGACTGGTTTTTGTTGAAACACAGTCCAAGCTATGGATTATGAGTCCTTATGGCATGTTGTCAAACTTATTTTGGTACTTTCTCATGGCCAAGCAACTGTTGAAAGGGACTTTTCTCTGAATAAAACAGGCAACATTACAAGTAATGAGTATTTTAATGGACACTTCACTAGCAATTTCTCAGTTAAACATGTCAAAACAGACAAACGCTTATTAACATGCAAGCCTGTCTCTTGGAGTTCTCTTTTCTGTGGCAATCAATACTTTCATATTTTCTGTTGCACAAAAACCAATATTCACATTCTTAGCTGATTTGATATTTTCTGTATTGCTTAAGTCAATTTTCAACAATTTAAATACAGTGTCTTACAATCCTTTTCCAAAGTTTATGATCACAATTGACAAAAGGCAGCACAGGGTGTTCAGTCCAATATTTCATCAGAAATGCGAGAGAGTTCTTCAGATATAAAATGATAACTTTGCTACAGAAAGAATATCATTTGTTACAGATTTCACACTATTAAATGCTTGACATTTTGGTACTGTGCAAGAGCTTGATTTGGCTTTTGATGTGTGTTTGGAAATTCAGAATAATTTCCATTTCCTTTTGTGCAACAGGTGCATCATCTACCCATCGGGTAGAACAAAATTTCAGTGCACAGATATGAGACCCAGTCATTTATTCAAAGTCTTCCAATCTGACTGAAGAATCTTTAAAAAGGCAGTGATTAAAGTTGTGCTTCTAAATCCCAATCAGAGGCATTGAAACCAGTACGAAGAGCCCCATGGACTGTGTGGAGATCACAAAACCCAATGTTGATTAAAAATGGGTCTGAATTTTTAGTTTTTAACTCTGATTCTAATTTCTCATGGAATGGCCAATTAACATTTGGACCATCCATCCCTATTTGCAAAAGTTGACTAGGATTAAGTTCTTTTGTCAGCTGTAAGAATTGGCATAATCATTAGCCTGTTCATGGCCAAGAAATGCAGAATCAAAAAATCTTGTCATCAAGAATTTTTCCAAGTCAAAGTACCAAAGGTACACATCAAGTTGATCCTTTGGTTTTTAACATCTAACGATACATCATACAAGAGCAAAGTCTATCTTTTCCAAACTTTTGACTTTCATACAAAAAAAAAAAGACTTAATATATGGAGCCAATCCAAAACAAGCCACACATTTTTTTCTCTCCACAAGAAAACTTGGATGAGATTTTACAATTTGGGAACATCTTTGTTAAACAGTTCATTAGTAACTATGGCAGCTAACAATGATCTATAGGACCCACAAAACCTCAGGTTTCCGTTCATCATCTTTTGAAACAAATGAATCCAGTCTTCCCTGTAGTGAATAAATTTCATAATGAGGTGCTGACACCGAGAGAAAAAGAAGTAAATCATCCAAAGGCTAGTTGCAAAATAACACTACTTAATTACATTTTTCAGCCCATTTTATTTAATATTAAATTTAACTTAGGCATATTAATCACTTCCATGCTGGACTACGACGTCGTCTTGATTTGTTGCAACAGTAGGCCTAATTGTTGATGTTCTATCTGGTATCAGCCTAGATTAAGATAATATCAAATTGTGTATGGTTGGCATGGCTACTGTTGAAGAGTGCAATTTATGCATGTTAGCCGCATGCTTTTCCCCTTCATACGTATTATCACTGTAGCCTTGCCCATATTGCCAACATCAAACTTTTTATGGCACACATTGTAACAAGCTTCTTGGCGATGTGCACCTGTAACAAGCCATTTCTTGTACTCGTCCTTCAGAAACCATGCAATATACATTTGCTCGGCATGTTTTACAAAAGTAGACATTAAAGTAAATACCACAGAACATAAAAATAATGATTGAAAACAGATGAAACTCAATTACATAATTACTTGAATGGCAAGACTCGGATGTCGACAGCCTCATTCATCCTTGTACTACTGAAGTAATTCTAGTTGCTATTCATGCATGCTCACTCAGAAGATTGTCACTATCGAATATTATACGATGTAATCATTAAAGAAACAAATTATGGAAAACTCTTGGTTTATAATATTGACAGGAGAAACTGTTCAGTTTCTATGACTTTTCCAAAATCATGGGATAAATCCACATTTTTCCCAAACTTTCCAGACCCTGGAAATTGCTACCACAATTTCCCAAGAATTTTCAAAATCCATACAAGCCCCGAATTAAGTAACGTGAAGCCTTCACTGGTTTTATGGGCTAATTGAAAGACATGCAACTACCTCAATATGCATTTAAAAAGTTTAATACGTGCTTCAGTGGACTAAGGTAACATTAAGTTTCCAGTAAGACCAAACCAAATGTTAAAACACACATCGATCCAATAGGATTAAAGCAACACTACCCACCGGATTTCCTTCATCATCCTGCTCTTCATCTGTTGACAAGTAGCCATGGGGAACAAAAAATTCGTTGTCCACTTCGTACTCATCTTCACTTTCTTTTTCGTCCTTTTATAATAAAATCATTACAAACACGTTACAAAACATCAAAATATTATACTATAATGGTTTGTTATCTGTTAGCCAAGTAAAAGTAAATACTAAAATGTAGAAAAACTTTATTACATGAACATGCGTGTTTGCTAATTTATGTACAAAACACTATTATAAATTACCCATATAGTAGGAATCTAATAACATTTTTTGAATACAAAGATTAACACAATATTTTCTTCATTCCCTCATGGATTAATAGTAGTAGACAAGCTACTTTTGATCACATACATGTCACTCCTTCTTTTGAAATAAAAGATGCAACCTGAACACTTCTTAAGATCAGTCACTACTTATTTATTACAATTAATGTAATATATCTCCGTTGTTTTACTTATTACTTAGAGAATCCAGATTATTCCACAGTATAGTAGAATAATTTGTTATAATACATTTTTTAGGAAGGTGATAACTAAGCTATTAAACTTTAAGATATATGAATGTGGTAATTTTAGTTTTGTGGTTATTCAATTTGTGCATTATCTGTGAACAGATTTTAACCTAGATTTTTTGCATGCCAAGTGAGACCTCTACCAATTGAGAGAGCTAAAGGTTCATTAGTCACTGCTAGTAAGACTTTTTTTTAATAATTAAAACTACCAGTTTTAAATTTATTGATATAGTTTGAGGGATTAGGCTTGAACAACGGATAGAAAAACTTAACACTTACATAACTATATAAAGAAGATCAAAGAAATTACTAAATATATGCAGTTTCAACTACAGAGGGATCTATATTTTCATACAATAAACTAGCCGTGGGTGTAAAAAACCAACTGTATTTTGTTTTTGGATATTTGCTACTCAAAGACAACTTGCACTAGTCATCCCTAATTTTGAACTGATAAAGACTAGAGAGAAGGTGGTTAATAAATAGTTCCTACCAACAATTCTAGGGCTACTTATGTCTGACCAACAGTGGTATTTTACTATCACTTTTATTACCTACACACAACCTGAAAGTGCAGAGCAGATTTTGTTTTGGTGCGAATGATGGACCAGCACATCCATAGTCCAGCAAGCTAGCCACTGGTGAAGCAATGCTATTAATATTTATCTTTTATTATATGGCTTTAGTGATTTCGTGTTCTCAAAGTTTTCTACAAATAATCAGTATTACCATACCAGCAGATGAAAGTTGTTTTCAGTACATACCTCAGTTCCCGACAAACTTTCTCCTGGGCCTCCTTCTTCCCACTCCTCATCACTGTCAACTTCGTAGTCAAATATTACCTTAGCAGATAAATATTCAGTTATAATTGTTAATATCTTACTGAATTCCCCATTACTTTACTTACATTAAAGAATAACTTTATGCATGTCATTTTATATACAAATACTGATAAAATATTTTAAGAACTTTTACCTGATGGTTTGCTGTTATAATAAACATAAAAGATCTGTATATTATTCTTAATGTTTTTGTAACTTGAAATTTTGTGCTTTCTCTGAATCGTCTAATTCACTAATAAAATGAAAGTTTACAAGTACAAGTAAACAGGAAAACCAAAAGTAATAATATCATGAGAATATTTACTTTATCAAGTACAAAAAATACTTACATCTCTACTAAATGGTCTTCTGGGGTTCACACTTGTACTTCTCTTCCTCCAGGTGCCCCAGTAAGGTGGCCTCACATTCTCACAAAACTGCAACAATTTCACTTTAAGTTTTGGCCTCATCTTTCGCTCTTCAGATTCAATAAAAATATCTTCTTCTTCCTCTTTTTCAACTTTTTGACATTTCTTGGTCCAGAAAGGTCTGTATTTCTCTGTTTTTAACTCTTCCAGGTATACCATATGTGGTACCTACAATATTATATTTTCAATATTTTCTTATCTAACTAATCTACAAGACTATATATAATTTTTTTAATTTTTGAAAAAAATACCAAATAATTTAGAAAATTAAAAAGTTCGAAAATATATAAACATAGCAGAATTTACAAACATTGGAAATATGACAGTTTTAACAAAACTGAAAACTGGATGAACATAAATCAATCTGATTAAAGTTTTCTAATTCAACACAAAACTTAATACTTTACAAAGAAAACCAAATTACATTTTGTAGAATAACATCTACCTGGCCTTGTAACTGTTTTTCCATATTTTCTTTGTCAAAATTAGCACTACTGAATTCAGGAACAACAGGAGCAAGTACCATGTTTTTCGTTACTTCAAATGGCAGAAAAATTCCTTGCTGTTTTTCCTGTTTGAAAACAAATTTGTGGATCAATTCTAACATCCAATTTTGAAATAATGACACTTTTATGAGATCAAAGTCACAAAAAACAGATCTTTCTTTAGTGGCATATTCACAGGAGGTGGAGGCCACTACAAAGAAAAATATTGTTATTGTGTTCATAATTGTTACAGTATAGATACAAACACTGTATTCAGATATAGGTTACTTAGTTTTTCTCAACAGCAAAATTACTCCAATCAAACTTCCTTCAGTTTTACAGATTTTTGTTGTTGATTAAAAAGTAAAATGTAACTTCAATCTATATCAATTAAATGGTTGAAATTCTGTTACCTGCTTAAAACACATGTCAACTCTTATTAACACAAAGAAATATTTACACTCAAATTTCCCAGATGAAGGTAAGGAAAATTTACAGATCAATGAATGTATATATGTTTGGTTATTGTTAAGCACAAAGCTACACAATGGACTATCCGTGCCCTGCCCACCTGTAAGCCTATAGACGTACACACACTTTGATTCACATACAACATACACTGCCACTTCTTTACTTTTTAATTTTTCCTTCTTCACTTTTCAGAATTTGTGGAAATGCAAAAAAATCAAGAAACACTTTCTGGGGGACTAAGAATAAAAGTCCACTTTTTTCCTACTCTCCTCCAGAACATCAATCTTACCAAGATATACGTTTCTCATCCAAACATGAAAAGACGAAAACACAATAAAAACATACCTCATTGGTGATAGGATTAGGTTCTGTTTTTACAAAAAAACTTGCAAATGTAGCCTTTGCCTTTTCTTTTTTTCTTTCCTGAAAAAAAAAGACTTTCATTTTATTGAAAACTTACTAACTCATCATCAACTTAGAAATTTTTTGGTAAATTTTGGTATTTCTGATAAGAGTAACAAATCTCGCACTGTTAGTTTGTCTTATTTTAGTTTAATATATGTTTTGTACTATTTTGTAACTACCACTTGATATACATTGTGTGTAATTTCTACTTGATAAACTCAAGTACTAATGTGTATTTTATAGATTCTGTTTTAAACACAATGTTTGTGTTTTCCAGCCTATCACTAACATTTTAATATACAAACCTCTTCTTCTTCTGCTTTTCTCTTTTCCTCTAATTTTTTCTGCCTCTCTTCATCCTTTTTTTTCTTTTCTTCCAACTTAGCACTAGAAAAGACAAAAAAAGAAAGTTATTAATATTATTTACAGCATTTCTAAAAGTAAGTAAGTAGAAAATGGGTCATTCTTAAAACCACTAGATATGCACAATGTTTACATATACAACAAAAAAAGGAATAATTAAAACAAAAGAAGCAACAGGTTGAAGTATATTCGAAAAATGTTGGTGAAAAAACATGAAAATAAACCTAGAAATGTGAAAAAAAAGAAAGTGAGAACAAGGAAGGATGAATGATAAGTATCCTGTCTTAGAATCCTTAAAATTCAATTTTTAATAAGTCACCTCGTGCCAACATTCTTCTTTTATTTTTGGAAGCAATATCATAATTTTAGCAGATTTTTCTTTACATCCTGAACCAAGAGATCCTCATAGGTACAACTTCTCATATTAAGATATAAAATAAGAAATAATGTCGGAGGTACCTTCTATGGTACTTAATAAATCCTTCATGCCATTCACACTTATGGGTTTTAATAAATCGTTTAGCAATTCGTGTAACTAAACCAGATTACAAGTACGTAAGCTGCATATTTCAGGCAACATTATATTTTCCTCTCAACAAATGCTGAATTATGAAACTATCAGAAACTACTTTTTAATAGTTTATATTAAAGTAAGTATATGCATGTGTTTGGGTAAGGATTCTTCTACAGTAGGTGTCTGTGACTTGTTGGCAATAACTTCAACAATAAATGAATATATGTATATATATCAGAAACAACTGAATGTATATACAAAATTCTTTACACGATGGACATCATAGTTGTATCTTAAACACTATACAGTTCTCTTCTTGTCAAAAGTCCATTTAGGCCTATTCAATTGCTTTAGAATTCAGTTAACAAGTCGAACTATTTTCATTGCAATGGTATCCGTATATAATGCACTTACGCTGTCACTTGAGTTACCGCAGTTGTATCATGTACTTCCAATAACTGTCTGCTTTTTCATGCTTAAAAATAATAATTTCTTTTTCGTCAATGTCCATACAGGTAGGTTCAATTAGTTTAGAACACCCTTTCACAAGACAAATTATTCTCCTTATCTCTTTCAAACTATTAATCTCACTGTAACACATCAACTGTTAGGCCTTTCACTCTTACAACAGTTAACTTTGTGAACCTCTCTTTCCCATGACTTTACTTTCTCTGTTTCCATTTGTCTGCTTGCAGCTATTTATACGTCTATCAATTAGGCCTTCTAGAAATCTCTATAGCCTCGACATCAATGGATTGTACAAAATGTTTGATACAAAACACAAAATAAGTTAATTAATAATACTACCTACACTAAACAGTCTTTTATATCTGACAGAAACATAAGTTGGACAAACCCTCCCAATCACAGCTTCATTGATACTTAATGTTTCCAAATTGGTCTAGTAGTTTTCTGCTCCACATCAGTATATTTTACTTTTGAGCATTTTGCTGACCAGTATTTAAAAATCTTAAATCACCACCAAGAATGTTCAATAACAGTTCCTTCACTTTTTGTTTCTTTGATCCTGTGAAATATTTTGTGTGCTCCAATTTAAGAAAAAATAAATCCTTCAGTAACACAGTACATCTCCCATTAAATTATTAGCCTGTTATTAATGCACGCGAGGTTCCCTAGTTTTTCGGGATAGCATCAAAATCATATCTTGCTAAACAAATTAACAAAAGGTCTTCACACATGGAAAAAGTACATCAAATACAGACAAAACACAAAAGTCAGTAGCTAAGAACTGAAAATAATTCTAAACTGAGTTAACTAAGACTCAGTAAAACATGTTTTTAAATTGTATAACACGATAATTTATCTTTGTGTAGATTAATAACTAATCTATGCATGTTTTAATGGGTTAATTAGTAAAACAATTTTCCACCTACAACATTTGTTTTATTTTAAAAAAACAAAAAACGAATTACAAAAAGCCTACTTTAAAATTTGCAGCTTTTTTTGTCTTTCTTCCTCTTTTTGTTTATATTTCTCTTGACGCTCTCTTTCTTCCTTCTCTTTTTTCTCCTGTTTCATGCGGATCTTTTCTTGTTTTTCTCTCTCTTCTTTATCCTTTTTTTCCTGTTTTTCTTTTTCTTTCTTGGCCTTTGTTTCCAGACGTTCACGTTCTTTTTTTTCCTTTGCTTCTTTCTGGATCCTTTCCTTTTCTTTCTTTAACCTTTCTCTCTCTTGTTTTTTAAGTTCCTATTTAAACATCATACAACACAATAATATCAAACACAATGTTTTTGCACAGATTACATGCAATTTGCATAACACAACTACTCCTAAACTACAAGAATATTAAATTTTACTTTGTTTTAATCAAATGAATACCAACCAATCCTACTTTGGAATTCCAACATAAAAAATTCCATGATGAATGCACTCAAGCTTACAAATAGGGCTGAATTAATTGAAGTAAAATATAATAAAACATTATTTTGCATACAGCTTTTTAATATCACAATTATATTACTATGGAATAATAAAATCTTGGTTTAACCATCAAAGCTATGTATAAAATAGTACATACATCACTCCCCAGGATATATGCCAGGCTTAGTAATAACGGGTCCAGCAGTTTGCCAGTTATAAACAGATTCAAGTATACATATAACATTGTTAATTATGTCTCCAAAAGAACTAGACACTCAAAGATCTAGAACAGATACAGAAATTCATATTGCTGAAATGGAAGATAGAGGATCACTGTGAATGAGAAGTTAAAACGTAGAAGTAAATGAAGAAACAAACTGTGTTTAATTAAATATGACTGCACAATCAACAGAAGAAACAGTATGATGACACGAACGAGATATTATGATCAAGATTCAATGCTTTCAATTTCAAAATGAATCTGCATTCTCTTAAGACACAAAAGAATCTGTCTGAAAATTCAGGTCATCCCTGTAGATGACCATTCTGAAAGACAGATCACAAGAATCTGGAAACTTCTCTCTTCCACTTGACAGTTGTAAAGCGATCCTCCGAAAACAAGGTAAAGTAAAATACAACTATTCCATGATTGGACTTGCTACAGAAATAAAACCTTAGGCCAAATTAAGCAAATAACCTCAACCAGATTAATATTTCAAATTTTGTAGACATCAAATATTCACACTATACAAGAGTAATGTATGTTGTCTGTACACATTACACTTCACCAAAAACCTTAATAAAATGGACAATTATTTTTTAAATTTGGAATTATTTATTTCAGAAACATATTTAAAAAAAAAAAGACGCATGTAGCTAAAATCAAAACCACAGGTATGGTAATGTTAAAAAAAATCATTACATCCATCACTCAGAAGCTTTAAAGACAAATAAGCAAGGATAAAGATTATATACAAAAGTACTTTGTCTGATACTGATTACGTTACTTAAATCCAGCAGCACGGTTATGTTTATGTATGATTTACCTTTCTCTTAAGCCTTTCTTCATTTGTTTCAAGGGAAACTTTTCTGCCTTTACCATTTTCCTAAACAAAAAATATTTTCTTAACATGCTGTAAGTACATACAAACAATTTAAAAAGAATACCTTTTTTTCACGTAAAGTAAGGATTAACAAAAAATTTTCTTTACATGTAAATTAAAGTTTTTAAGAATTCTATCCAGGAAATTAATTCAGGAGCTCTTTGGTATAATTTTAAATTTTCTTCATCCTTCCATTATTTTATCATATGAAGTTTATTGTGAGAGCAATTGTATTAATTACATTTTACTCATAACTTTTACTGACAAACATTTTACTAAATTTAACGTTTGCTGGAGAAAAAAAATACAACTTTTACTATAACTAAATATGCATTTCTGATACCAACCTTTTTTGTTTCTCCTGTCACAGACCTCTGAGAAAGTGTTCTTTTAATTCCATGTTCTTCATTTGATTCTCCAAATATCTTACTTGTATCAGATGTTTCTACTACAGCAGTATCTTCATCTTTACTTTCAATCATGCTTGTATCTTCTGCTTCCACTGAAGAAACTGAAGTGTCTCCTGGACTGGAATGCTCCAAATCTTCAGTATTGTTTGTATTTTCCATTTCTTCAGGTTGTTCTGAATGCCTTTCAGCAGTTTTGTTACCTGGGCATTTCTCAAGATCTATTGATAATAGACTAGAATCAGTCTTATTATGCTCAATTGTTTGTGTGTTAAGTGTATCACAATCTGTAATTTGTTGGTCAGGTTGAACATTCACCTCAGTTTTACTTTCACTTCCTATATCTCTGATTGAATCTTGAATATTATGGTCTACAACTCCACCTTGTTGGTTTTGAATGTCACAGACCTCTAAAATTGGGCAAGCCTTAGAACTCACTACAGGAATATTTTCAGCTTCAGCTGAAGTATCTATTGTGTTTGGATTGTTTGCTAGTGACACACATTCTTTGGTTGAAAATTCTTCACGAGGCGTCTTGGAAACTTTTCCTACATCGTCATCAGAAAGTTTTCTCTTCTTTTGATTTGGTGATGAAGTCTGAAGTGTACTGCTGATATCTAAAACTTTGAAAGGAAGTCGTGCTAGGGGTGGATAGGAGAAAAAAAAAACTTATAATATGAATTACCTAGCATTTTACTTTTGTGAAACTGTACATGAAACTTAGGATTATCAAATAGAAAGTGATAATTATTAAGAACATTCAATTTCTAACGTAATTATAATAATTCATAATCATATTCATTTTAAATTACTTATTTATCCAACAACATATTAAAAATGTAATTTTTAGGAAAAGAAAAGTCAAGAGTGAAGGTCTCCTACTTTTCACAAGCAGGTAGAGCCATTAACTGATTATTTATAAGCATAGATTAGGGTCACAAAAATAATTGATTAATTGAAATTAGAATTAAATCAATTAATGTTATGAAAGTAATCAACTACTTGAAATTGATGTTTCTGATTACTGCCATTTGATTATTCAAACTATCCTAGTGATTAAAATATTGCTAGTATGATTTCTCATTATTATAATTTTGATTAATTTAGGGTTGTTCAGTTTAATTAATTAGTGTCACAATTCAAACTAATTGTTTTCAATTCTTACTATTTTTGATTACTCCAACTATCCAAGTCTCATATAAGAATAATTGAATAGTTTAATTTAATAGCATTAACAATTAATCTTGAACTTAACAATTAATCGATTATCATATTCCAGCTCTACAAGCAGGACTTGTAGAATCCCAGCCACAAAGTTATGTCACCTGAATAAATCACTGGACGTATGGTTTTTTTTCTTTTAATTTTTTTCACTAAAAAAATGTGTGCATTTTCATATATACTGTTGTTTGGTATGTTCTTTCTGTGTTATTTATAAAAAATTATGTGAGATCCAGTCCAAGTAACAATAACGGACTAACACATTTCTTCTATAATACTTGCTACAGGCTACACTCACTTTGACACAAGTTGTAGGCCTAAGTTCACAAATAAAATTTCAAAAGAAATTCTTCACTAATGGTACATTGTCTAATTTATGAAAATAAATTTACTTGTACTATTCCACAATAACTGAATATATGTAATAACTCTCATTGAATAACTTTTTGATACTTAACTGAACCCTCATACTAAATACTTTAGTAAATCTTATTCACTTCACTAACAGATTACTCATATTTATAAACAACATACCTCCGTCTCTAGATATTATACATAGGTTCTCAATTATTATATCACCAAAGTTAGCAGCTCCCTCTAGCAAACAACTAAACAAATATAGCTTTCAACAGTATAACAACATAATGCAATATAATTAAATCCCCTGGACCAGACAACTTTTACCCAGAGTTTAAAAGATTTTATTTGTGAACCATTAGCTAATATTTTTTATAGGTCAATGAGTAGTGGAAGAGTATTAGAAGATTGGAAGTTAGATAATGTTAGTCCAATATTTAAAGAAGGTGATAAACACTGTGCAGGCAGTTTTAGGCCAGTTAGTCTTACATCAATAGTGTGATTAAAGACGCATTGTAGAGTCACTTAAAGCAGTTTGATATAGTTTCAAAGAGCCAGCATGGATTAACAAATCTTCCGACATTCTTTGAGGATGTTACTGCAAGAGTCGACAAAGGAAATACTGTGGATTTGGTTTACCTTGATTTTCAGAAAAACTTTGATAAGGTGCCTCACAAAAGACTTGTTACAAAAATTAAATCTGTGGGTGTGGGGCAAATGTTATTAAATTGTATAGAAAATTGGCTGGGTAGCAGTTACAAGCGGTGTGCCTCAGGGCTCTGTGCTGGGTCCTCTGCTGTTTGTGATTTATATTAATGATATATTGACTCTGGAATGACTAACAAAATTTTGAAACATTTAAAGATTTTTGGGGTGGCTAACTGTATCAAAGATGCTGCAGACTTACAGGGAGATTTAGATCATTCAATGAAATGGGCCAATATGTGGCAGATAATGTTTAACTATCCAAAATGTAAGGTGACGCATGCAGGTTTTCACAATTCAAATTATTGTTACAATTTAAATGGGAATACATTAAATACTGTGTTTGAAGAAAAAGATCTTGGTGTTGTAATCGAAAAATCGCTTAAGTCATCTAAACAGTGTATTGTAGCTAATAATAGGGCTAATGAGATTTTGGGTAGCATCTATAGAAATATTGAATATAAGACAAAGGATATTATTGTTTCACTGTATGGATCACTTGTAAGGCCTCATTTAGAGTACTGTGTACAGTTTTTGGCACCCTTCCTCAAGAAGGATACTGAATTGTTGGAAAAGGTTTAGAGAAGAGCCACTAGGATGACACCTGGAATGGTGGGATTGTCCTATGAGGAGAGACTATAATCTCTAAACTTGTTTTCTCCGAAGAGGAGAAGGGTCAGAGGGGATTTGATTGAGGTGTTTAAGATTATTAAGGGTATTGATAATATAGATCCATCAAACATTTTTGTGTTTAGCAGTGAAAACAATAGAACAAGGGGTCATAAATTCAAATTTTGGCAACATAGGAGTCATCTGCAGTTTAGACAGCATTACTTTTCAAACAAGGTGTTGTCTTTTAGAATGAGCTGCCTTCATTCAAGGGTTTGAGTTTAAGAAAAGATTGGATAAATACATGAATAGTAAACGGTGGTTATAGTTGGGAGCTGGAAGGAACATCCTTGATGGGCTACTAAGCTCCTTTTCGGCCCTTTTATGAATTAGTACATAAGAGATTGGTACAGCATCTTAAATTTCAAATAAGTATTGAAATACTGAACAGGAAGTTAAAATTTACATAATTCAACAGACTTCTTACATTTACAATGTCTGAATGCAAGCCAAAATACACGAGTACCAGCAAGTAGGCACAGAAATTTTCTGTGAGCCTTAAATAATTCTATACTGCACATAAAAGATTGGGTATTTGGTTCACATTCAAAGTATTGCAACATTAAATTTAACAATAAAAAGTGTTTATATTTTGTTTATGTTTGAAATTCAAAACATGCATAAAATTGAAAATCTGTTCACAAATTTTCTGAGGTAAGGGTAACTTCCCCAACCCCATCTCTTGGTTAAGCACCTATCCTGGTTCCAAGGATTTATTGCTGGCTCCTAAATGTCACATATATTTACCAACCCCTATTCATAACATATATTCCAAAATAATAATATTGTGTACAACAAAACTTCTCGATGATTAACAGATTGCTAATTTTGTTCCTGCCTACAAAAATAGTTTACAATTGCAGATCTAGTAACAATTCTGAGGTGTTTAAAATTATTACAGGTTTGGATAGGCTACATGTAGGAAATAATTGATTTGTGGATTATTTAGGTTATTAATAGGAATTTGAATATTTGAAGTAAAATAAATAAAAGATGTAATTTTTAGTGTTCAAAACAAAGACGTAATTCATATAGTATTTGCTATAAACTGTAGTTACAACAAACATAATTTAACATCACATGCATCCTTGATTCTCCTTTTAACTGAACACACCTTGTTTTAAAGGTTTGCTTGAAGCTGCCTCATCTTTCAATATAATTTCCATGTTTTTTCAACACTTCTGTCTTTTCTCTTTCCTTAGTTTCAAAGACCTGAAAAATAAGATTAAATCCTGTTTAAATTCTAAACATGTAAAATTGAGTGTTTTAATTTGGTAAAAAGAACTAGAACTTAATGTGATTTGGTTCAGGTGTTTAAAGTTATTAAGACCATGTTATATTTTAACTGTGGGAATTCTTTACTTTCAAGTTACAGATATTAGGTATAAGTTTAGGATATGTATGTACATGTTATTAATCATTTATCACCCACGGAAGGGTTCTTTCCATTACCGTAAATATAAACGGGTGGAGACGATACAGGGTTAAGCACAGTTACATTATCCTTAGAATAGCTAACTTCTGGAATAGTTTGACAATGATGTGGTGTGTCTTTATAATTTGGATTCTTTTTCTTTTCTTGGACATGGATGAATATAAAAAACATTACATTTAGATCTTGGAGTCAAATAAGTTAACAAAGACCAATTAGTGACTTTCAGTTAACGCTTAACTCCTAATCAACGAACACCAATACACTTAAATTATGGGTATGTTACGAAAATTGTATCTGCAATCTTAAGGAACTAAAATTAAATGCTTGTTTTTATGAAAACTGGTGTTTTATGTGCATATATGTGGCATAAAATTAGACAGTTTGATTAGCCTAGTCATGTTGACATTTTTCTATGTTCAAAATATAACATAACACATGAACAACAAGGCATCATTTGGTCCTTCATGGCTGTCCCTGCACATTTAGTCTTGAGAAAAAGTAAAAACTTAAACTTTAAGGACATTAATGATTTCATTTTTGTAAAGTGCCAGCTCTGCTACTGTCTACGGCAACTGATATCATACACCACTCACCCTGTTGTCCACTGGATAAGCTTGCAAACTACAATAAGTTTACCTTTTATTTTTCCTTCTCTTCTCAAATTTTAGAGATCTTAACCTATACCAATAAGATAACCCATCTCTGGAATCATCATAGTAGCTCTTCTCTGAACCATTTCGAATAAGTCTATCCTTTCTCAGATAATGATATCAAAACTGTATCCAGTGAGGCATAGTTAGTGATTTGTATACCTTCTCTGACTTTTAATCAGTGTGTCTATAAATCCACCCCAAAAGTAAAATCCTATCAAATTCGTAACTAGTACTAGCAACAGAATACTGCTCCAATGGCTTGAGTGACTTATCCACAACTATGCCAAAATGTTATTGACTAGTTTCCCATCTAGATTAAATGTAATAAAAATGCATGGCGTGGCACTCACTATAATTAAAGGTCATTTATCAAATATCTGTCTAAATAATCAATCTATCTAAACCTCAACATTCTCAATATAGCTAGAAATATTACTCATTACCAATTTAAACTTTAATGTCATCAGCAAACTTTACGGTTCCTATCAGTATCATTAATGTAAATAATAAAATTAATAAATACACTTTTCTTAGAGTTTTTTTATTGCGTACTTTCTTGAATCGATGATACTCATTTTAATTTTTAAATACTTCACAAAACAACTGTCGCGTATTTATTTGCTCCATTAAGCCTACTTCACGTAGTACTTGTGCTCACAAACTGTTTATGCTATACATCTAAAATTAATTCTAATTTCAATATCAATTATTAAGTCATTAATGAACTATGTCTGTTAAATTCTGACAGTGGTACAGAATTTATTACATCCTATTATTACTCACCTGTTCAAAGCACACACGTTTGAGTAAAGAGTAATAACTTATAAGTTATAACTTCTGACTAATTTACTTTTAGTATAACATCATAATAACGACTAATGTACTAAGCTTATAATGTTATTTCTTTATCTTTGTGTTTGCGTTCCGATAAATAATATTTGGAATCTAAACACGGATATATTTCAACGTAATAAGACTTCAACTATAACTTAAAAAAAAACAGTTACATATATAAAAAGTCCCTCGACAGTACACTTTCTAAATCCAACACAGTTTCGTTCCTCCTCCTCATTTGATCCTTTTCTCACCCCGACTGAATTTGGCGCGAAAAGCTGAAACCATCCACAACGGGATTATGAAGCAATCGTTCGATTCACCAATTTTCAGTTAATTATACTCTCAAACTAGTATATTTGAATTTGTGAAAAATAAATACCATTCTCCACCTTAAGAAAAAAATATAAATAACTAAGTTGTGATTAAATATTTTAAAATATACATTAACATTGTTAAGCTTACAAAATAATCTTTTTTTTAATATTATTACTGCTATTATCTTAAGTGTAAGTCTATATTTGAGAGTCGTTACTTTCCCTAGGTCATTGATGACGCGTGACTCGAGTTACCCTTGGAAATAAAATTAAATACGATGGTTGGAATGCATAGTGAATCTGATTTTTTGGTGCGTGTAAGTAAAAGCTGCTTAAAGAAATCGAAAAAACTGCACGAATGCTTATTTAAAACTGTAAAAAAAATTGTCTTAACTTTATAATGTTTCTTGTGCAGGAAATGTTACTGATAGGTTGTTCATGATATTAAGAAAACACAAGAACTCACAGACAAAAATAAGATTCTCTATATCCTGAGCGCTTTCAAAATATAGGCCTTTATTCATTAACGGCAAATTCTTATTCCTATTTATGAACTGTTGACACTCCGAGACTTGTCTCTTAAACAATTGTCGTAAATAGCAATTTTAAAATGATTGTTTGTTTTGTTTTGAATTTCGCGCAAAGCTACACGAGGGCTATCTGCGCTAGCCGTCCCTAATTTAGCAGTGTAAGACTAGAGGTAAGGCAGCTAGTCATCACCACCCACCGCCAACTCTTGGGCTACTCTTTTACCAACGAATAGTGGGATTGATCGTCACATATAACGCTCCCACGGCTGAAAGGGCGGGCGTGTTTGGTGTGACGGGGATTCAAACCCGCGACCCTCAGATTGCGAGTCGAGCGCCCTACTCACCTGGCCATGCCGGGCCTTTTTAAAATGATACTTTGTATTTTGTAATCCAGCCGTCTTAATGATTTTGGTATTAGTGTAAGCCATATAAAAATATGTTTTAATTTAGGTTTTTGATAGAGGAGTTTGACAATGATGATGGTGTAATAATTTAGAGGTTTTGTGGAACTTGAAAACAAAAGTACTTTGTAAATACTGTTGCGTCAGCGAGGTCACGTGACTAGTGTCACGCCACTTCTCTCGAACCTTCGTGAAAGCCCTAGCATTTACTATATATATATGTTTGTCTGGTATATATATGGGACGCTCGCGGCGGGACGAAACAATGTGTGTGTAGGTAATGAGTAATTGAACTGCAGTCAGAGAGAGACGTATTGTTGAAGTTAACGTTCGTTGTTAAAACGTTTGTTATAGCGCGACTGTTGAAAATAAGTGTATCGTAAAGTTGTATTCAGAAAGAATAAGCCAGTTTTATTAAGTAAGGACTTGTGTCGCTAAAGTTTCGCCGGAACGAAGTAACGGGAAATCAATTAACAAACGGAGACGTAACAATACGAATAATAATTTTTTGAAGTACATTTAGCGAGTGATTTAGTTCAATGTTTTTAGGGAGACTTATTGAACAATTAGCAAGGAAATTCTGTAACTAAGTCTATTTGTAAGTTAGGTGTGTCCAGTAGTTTCGAAATTTATGTTCAAACGTGCTTTGTGAACTTTAGTCCTACGTATTGCGTCAAAGTGAACGTGGCCTGTAGCGAACATTATAGAAGAGACAAATTAATTCCTCATAGTTACGTGGACTGAACTTGGCATTATTTTTATAAAATAATCCAAAAGAACTCACCAAACTATAGAACATGTTACAACAGTATTAAGTGAAAGTTTTGTCTGTGTCGGACATTTGATCGGTGTTTGGTCATGTTTTATGCGACATGGGAGGGTCAAGTGCTATTTAAACCTCCTCCTCTCTTCTTGAAGGTATGTTTATTTCCAGTTAAATGCTAGATGAATCACACCAAAAGATCAGGGTTTAAATACTTCACAAGTAATTACACTGATTCTTCATCTCTCTTCAGAGTCATGTCCATGACTGTAAAACATAGCATACATAGCTTTTTTTGTCACTTTTTTAATTTTTACATACCATTTAAACAGCTTTAACAGTTTGTGTTTCGTTCGACCAAAACTATGTGCTTTAAAGGTTTTTTTTGTAAGAATTGTAACCAAGATAAAGTAATCTTACGACAGCGGAAGTCACGTGACGCTGGTGGCGTGCGTGAGGAGTTTCTCGAATTATTGGGGAAGTCCGCGAATCCTACATTAAGTTCAGCGTAGAAGTACCAAGATTGGTACAGTCATCAGGATTCAAGGCCAGAAAAGGGCAGCTTTCAGAGAAGTTTGAGGGACTTTGCTGGACTGTAACAAACCTGAGCACAAGAGAGCTCAATGCCGGTAACTTCAACACAGGAAAGATGCCATGGCAGGAAAGGCTGCTACCCAAAAAGGTTGTTGGAACTGTGGGGAGCAAGGACATATGAAGAGCCAGTGGAAGAAGAATACTACCAATAAGTCAGCTTCGGGAAACCAGTAGTGGTTGGTGCAGAGGGATGCCCACCAACCCCCATTGTGAAAGTCCCAACAGCTAAGTGTAAAATGACAAGCACACATAGTATCTACGTGACAGGAAAGATGGATGGCCAAAGGTGCAACTTTGTCATAGATTCTGCATCTCAGCAGACCCTTGTGAGTATCAAGGTGCTAGATCACGAATGAGTACCAGAAGCTGTACAGAAGCCCTGTGGTGTGACAGGACATTATGCAAGGTTGTGGGGACCAGTGTTGAT